AAGCTATGAGAAGGAGAAACAAAATCTGTCCGAACCTAACGATGAAGAGAAGGAAAAGTATGCAAAATGTGGAGATATTGTACGCAATCATAGGAATGACATTTTAAAATGTAATAAACACTAATACCGTACAATTACAGTCTGCTCTCAATATACGGGACTTGTTTGGGCAGCATTAATGATGTATCTTATGTCGAATTTATCTTATATAGAAATCCCTTATATCGAGGGCATACTGTACTATAACTATACATTCTTATTTTAACAATTTTATTATATAACAATTACAAAATCAATTGTAATTTGAAATTATCAGTACATTTGTACATGAATATAATAAAAATTTAATTTTTAATTTTTAAATAAACATTCTAATTATAATATAATTAAATGTTCTAGTGATTAAATAATATTTTTTGCTTTGTATTGATAAGAGTAATAATGTTCTACATTCTGAAAATTTTAAATTATAAAATACAATACAATTTAAACGAACATTTTTTGTTGACAATTAAACATTTGAATCAATAATGATTTAAATGGTAATTTATATAATGGTTAAAATGTACTAAATATTAAACAATAAATTAAATTTATTGCACATCAATAAGTTAAGAATACATAACCTATACTGTATATAATACAGGCTCTCGTTTAAGTATTAAACCATTTAATAATCTATTTAACATTTTGGCATAATTGAAAAAATTGGAAATTATTTTGAACCGTAAAATGTCGACTAATTTAATATTGATTGTATTAATGGTTGCATTTATGGCCTGTGTTTCCGGCAATAATAAGGTCAGCGAAGGCGACAAAGAGGCCGCCGAAGGCATGTCTGTTCTCTATTGCGGTAATTATTGACAAAAATTCAAAATGTCCAAATATTTAAATGTTCAAAACTTTAATTATACTTAAAATCTAAACACATATTAATTATATAATTATTTAAAAAATTTAAATTACAACCAAACAACAGGTTACAAAAATTGTAAATAATTAAAACATATTTATTAAAATTGTTATAGACAAATGCCATGACTCGGACACTGAAAAATTAATCTCCGCCTACAAGACGTGTACCGCAAAGAGTAAGAGTTTTGGGAAATTTGTAGAAATATCCAACAAATATAAGGATAAGAAAACGGATTGTATCTCTCTCTCTCTCTCTCTCTCTCTCTCTCGATGTGAATGTAATAATTGAATTGATATATTGAAGGTAACTGTAAGGACGAGACAGTGAGCGGTGATATAATGAAGTTCGGACAATGCGTTCAGGCGTTGTATCCGAAAGAGTTCGCTAAAATCCTATCCATAAGAGAGGCGCAGATGTCTAACCCGGAGGAGTGCGTCAACCAAATGAAGACTGAGCTTCAGGGTTACGCTCGGGCCGACCCAAGCGGTGTTGTCAAAGTGATGGACTGTTTCCGAGCTAATGTTGTGCCCGACCATTTGGCTAAATGCCATTAATAATTAGTTTAACTGACTGTTATATTAATGCATTGTTTTTTTTGGTTTAAATTTTATATAAATAATTTTGGGTAAAAACGAATTACAGCTTTTCATGCTTTATGAAATTGTTACTTTTATAATTTTAATTATAACCTGTTAGTAATATTACTTGTGTTTATAATAAAATTGGTATAATTTTATATACATTTTTTGTTATTTAATTTATAAGAGTTACAATGTAATTTTTAACCATGACAAGTTTACTTTTATTTTCTATAACAACATTTTACAATAAATAATTGTGAAAATAATGTTTGTAAAGTTATTAACTAGCATCTTAAGCCATTACAGTAAATGTCTACATATTTTCCTTGTTATATTTTTAGTTATTATTTTATAATTATTTATTTTTATTATGGAGTTATAACTTTTATTTTTAAAAATATATAAATGTCAGTTATTTTGAATTAAAGATGAAAGGTCATGGTTGTAAAACATCATTAATAATTAATTAAGCAAATTATGACAACTATTGTCTGTACAGTACTATTGTAAACAAATTAATGACATTTTTATAAGATTTTGACAGTTTTCTAAATATGGATTGTTTAATAAAATAATAAATATGTGATTAATTTTTGTTGATTAATTCTTTACCTAGTAATTTTATCAGTATAGGTACTATGTAACTGTAATACTGTAAACAAAATTAAATTGCAATTTATTTCAAACATATAATTATATTAATAATTTAAAAGAGTATATAAATGGCATTACATTTTTATTCATTCATATTTAATATTTTGCGTCTTTTGTTGATAATATCAATATACAGTCGATTATATTATACATTAGATTATGGCCACTATTTCATTCACTGTGTTAACCGTCTTTGCAATGGCTGTCGGATATACAGCCGCTCAGGAAATCTTCACTGATGAAGTCAGAAAAAATACCCGGATGATTTTATGTGGTAATCCCTCTCTCTCTCTCTCTCTCTCTCCCTCCCTCCCTCCCTCCCTCTCTCTCTCTCTCTCTCTCAAATTTTGATTAATATATTAATAATGTGTTTATTAAGGAAAATGTGCTGATTCTGGGGTAAAACAGGATTTACAAAATTTTGGTAATTGTGTTCGAGAGATATATCCGAAAGAGTACTCAAATATAATGACAATTCGTGATAAGAACATGAATGATCCTGATGAATGTCAAAATAAAATGGTCACAGAACTACAAGAGTATGCCCGAAATGACCCAGCTGGTATTGTCAAAGTAATGGACTGTTTTAGAGCCAATGTTGTTGCCGATCATCTCACTAAATGCTTTAAGTCTGGCATTTATTAGTGTTTCACACAAAACACGTTTACCATATTTTATCAAATTAACAATGAATTAAATAAATTAATAATACATCTAAAATAATTATGTACTCAAATTAATAATGTATTCTTTCTGTATTGTATTGTATCCAATAAATATTTTTTTATTATATAATTTTATATGTTATTTATTTAGTTTGATAATTATTAGGTTTATGTTATTTTATTAACAAATTTTATGTCATTCTTTTTGAGATATTATAAGATGAGATATTATTGAGATGCTGCATATTAAATTCTTTAAAAATAATTTACTATTTTATATTCCTCAATTAATTAATTAAAAGTTAGAAGTTAGAAATTATTAATATATAACGTTGAACAACTTTAATAAAACGTTTAATTATTACCTGAATTTTGGTAAATAGGTATTACTCTGTAGATTATAAAAGTACATTTTAGGACACTTTAGTATTTAATGTAAATACTTTTATAAGAATATTCGTTCGTGATAATAAATCACACAATATTTATTATTTGTTTAGAATTTAATTAATGTTTTAGTACTTTATTTATGTCCTAAATATCCTGGAAATGGTTAATTACAGCATCTCATATATTATATAAACGTAAGTATATAATTTGATCAACAATTTTTATTAAATTTTATTGTAATACTATAATATTTCTACTTGTTAATAATCTATAATAAACATGGCTTTTCTGCTAACCCTCACAATTATTTATTTTGGTGTTGTGAATGTGTCGGCACAGTTGCCATTTACCTCAGACCTCAGACGTACAGCACGGGTATTGTTGTGTGGTAAATTTTAACTTGTTATATAATATAATGTTATAGCTTATATTATAAATTAAACATTCATACGAATTTATGTTACCTAGTTATTACCATATTGTTATATAAATTATGCGTTTAATTGTACTAAATAATAGGGACGTGTAAAGTAGAACCAGTGGTGGAAGGGTTGAAAAAGTTTGGTCAATGCGTTGCGGAAGTGGACCCAGAAATGGCGGCGGGGTTTCTGGCCCTTCGCACTGAACACATGTCTGACACCGACACCGAAGACTGTATGCGACACATTAGGGCCCAAATATTTAACTCCTCGCCATTAAACCCTTCGGTTGTCACAAAAATATTGAATTGTTTTCCAAGCGATCTATCGCTCACACAAATGATGCGATGCTCATAAAACTTATAACTAAACTTGAGCATAATATTAACTATTTTAAGTGAGTTTAATTATTTAATTAAAAGTTTATGTTATTAATAATATAACATTTTTATCTCTTTAGAAATTTATTCATGTATTTTAAAATTAATGACTTAATATTTTTTTTAATAAAAAATAGTTAAATAATACGTATAAATTGGTTTAATATTTATAATTATATAGTAACAAATTATTAGTTTTAAAGCTAAACAAATCTATAAAATTCATAACATAAAATTAAATAATTTTGTTGTTTGATTGTTGTATAATCTTTATTTTGTTAACATTTACTGATATGATCATGATTAACATTGTTAACATAGCATTTCATATTTTTATTCCTATCATCATCGGTTGCCGTTTTGTTTAATTGCGAAAACTTTGTCATTACTTGCGTCACACAATTATTTGGGTTATTCTTAGCCGTATCCGTCAATTCTTGAGATAATTTTGATAATTCCGTTGATAAACAGCTCTTGTATGCAGATATCTCTTTCTGACCGGTGCTGTCCTTACACTCACCTTGAAATTAAAATTTAATGTTTTAATTGACAATTGAAATGTGTACAATGTACATTAACAAATGTGAATGTGTTGTATAGAATACATTACCACAATAGACGGCATTCATTACTCGTCTGATATCATTGATGTCACAACCGGTGGCTGAATACCAGTTAATAGACATCAAAACTACCAACAAATATATACCTCTATTAGAAAACATTATAATTCTCAATAAGCAATTATTTAATTTATTGGTTTATTATGATAAATTGACTGATTTATATATGTTTTTAAATGTAACTTTGATAATTTAAAGTTAGTTTAAGTAAATTAAAAATTTAGTGCATATTTAGATCTAAAGTCCAATTGTACTTTTTAGTTTGAACAGTATAGTTTATTCTGTATATCTGTTCTAAATTTCAATCACACATTACAGTTGAATATAGTTTATTAATTTTGTCAAACACACCCTTTTGTTAGATATCAGATTCTCGAAACTAGGTTTTTCTTTTTCAAACTGTTTGCACTAAACTATTTGATTGCGGCTAATATTAGAAATTGCAGCAGTTGGTATTGTGTAACCTATAATCTATCCCTAATTTTTACAAATATTTTACAATATATATACTGTATATATACTATATTTTATTAGTTCATACTTAAAAGTTTTTAATTATTTTTTTACAGGTATTATACATAGTCTGTAGTTTTTAATTATGAGTTAATATAAATTAGTATGAATTAAAAGGTATTTATTAAATTCTTTTATTGAAAATTATTATTTTTATTCGGTTTGATAAATTAGTTTAGTTGATTCAATTAAACAATGTCATTTTATTAATTGTTATTAAATCAAAATAAACAGTTAATGTTTTATAAAGACATAAATTGTATAATTTATGTAAATTTACATTTGGAGAGTCCTTTAGTATTAAGATCCTTATAACATTGTTCAAATAGCTTTTTATCGGCGTCAGTTGGCTCATCCAAATTTTTCATAGCCTTTAAAATATTTGCGATACAATCCGTTTTCTTATCCTTATATTTGTTGGATATTTCTACAAATTTCCCAAAACTCTTACTCTTTGCGGTACACGTCTTGTAGGCGGAGATTAATTTTTCAGTGTCCGAGTCATGGCATTTGTCT